CAGACAACCAATCAGACGAAAGTTCTGCTTCTGAAGAATCACGTGATCCCAATGTGAGCAATAATCAATTACTTTTTGGCGTTCAAGGTCTTTGTAGTAAGTGAGAATGGTAATCTAGCTACGTGTGTTTCCTGGAATTGTGCGGGTTCTGAGAATTGTCCCTTTCGACTCAAGTCCCCGTGCCGAAAATAATGTGATTGGGGCATTAGAATCGCGATACTGAATCGCTCGTGAAATAATTTTGATCCACCGGCGACGGACAATACAAATCTAAAAAAAAAATAATTTGCTTTGAAGAATCCGAAACAGTTAAAATCAGCAGTTATTGCACGATTTACGGTGGGTCATATGAGGCCTTCTCAATTGCTGTCTAAAATGTCAGATTAGCCGCGGTAACCTACGGATAACATTCTTAAAACATTATGGATGCATAGACTCCATCAACGGCAAAACATTTTAGCGACCGTAGCGAGCCACTTAAAATCTTCCGAAACGCTGATAAATTTACGAGCTGGCCATTCCACGCATACACGCATACAGGCTCCGGTCCAGGATTGTGGCGGTACAGGCTCAAATTGGTGATTTGTCCAAACGGTTACTCAGTTAGTAGCCTCCAAGCTGACCTTTTCAGCGCAAACCGCTCCACATCACGTGGTTAAATACACATCTACCCACTGAGGAAACATTATGAAAGCCCTCCTCCGGGTATTTGTTTTTACCACCAAAAATTTGGAAACAAGGCAAAACTGCCGCTCCCGTGTCATTATAACGACCAGGGAAACGAGAATGGCCGTTGCACGAAGTTGTGAACGGCAGCGGCCGGAATTTTGCACGCTTTTTTCGTCATCGAAAGAATTCGGGCTAAGGTTTCTGTAGACACCGGGCTGATATTCTGTCTTCACCATTTTCAGAACAAAAGCCCTACCAAGTTACAACTTTATGTAGCCAATGGAACTCCTATTTAAACTTGGTGAACCCTGATATCTCTTGATTTAGGATTGCGCCGCAACTTCCAACGGCCATTCATTATTGCTACTGTTTCCAAGTCCTATTATTGGCGCTGACATTTTTCAAAAATTTTCTTTGCTTGTCGATCTTAAGAATCGCCGTTTGATAGATTTAAAAAGTATTGTTCGACGTTGAGATTGCTTGCAATAGAAAAAGACATAACGAGAACTTAAAAGAGGGCGACTTTATGTAAAATCTAGAAACGGATTTTTTCTTTTATTTCAGAAGTTCATCAAAACTTAGGGTAATTCAAGAGGAGAATCTTATAGTTGGGTTTTGGAATGATTACTCTGCAATGTACTTCTGTAAAATTTCCAATGGAAATTAGCTTAAATATCAATACAATTTAACAATTATAACAAAAACTGAAAAGTTTCAGATTTTAAATTACGTCCAAAGGGGCATTTTTTTAACGTTTTGTGTATTACCTTTATTTATTAAATATCATGTTGACGTACTCAACCAAAAACCAGTTAACAGCATATCCAAAATAATTTAAAATGATCAATCTTTAGATTTCGATACACTATTCGCCCGTGGAACAATTTTGCAATATAAATTGATAATAAAACAAATTTTAAATTCTAATTAGGGCTTCCACAGGATCATATTTTATGGAAGATTACATTGCTCAAATTTTGATGGCTCTAGGTACCATTGTTTTATCACAATGCAAAAAACATACATACATTCATGCAGATTTTTCATTGTTTAATTTCTTTAACTATGATGCAAGGCGATAATATTAGGTGGCAACAATTTGAAAAGTTATTCGCCGTTTATAGTTTTAAACGCAAAATGCCAAAACGAAATTAACAGTCCTTCGTGGCAAATTGCCCCTTTAGACTAAAAAAGGAAGAAAACTGTATAAAGTATTTTCAGCCTCCTTCCAGCATGGCTTCGTGGTGCAACGGTTAGTACACTCGGCGCGTATTCGGGAGGTCCAGGTTGGAGTCTCGCCGAAGGTATTGCTCATTTTTCACATCTTCTGCTTACAAACTAACCTAATGACTCTACAATTGAAAAAGATTGGAAATTCGTGGATTTGTTTAACATTCTTGGAGTCTTAAAAAATTCACGAAAATCGTAGAAATTTTCACCGCGATAAAGTCACTAGTCTATATACAATCTTAATTAAATATTTCAGGTCTTTGTAACTGTATAGTTTGTTAAAGAAAATGCAGCAAACTCTAATTAATCGTATTTCAAATATTTGTAACTCTAGTCATGTGAGTCGCTTATTCTTTCTTTTTTCCCAGCCGAATAAAATTAAACTTATTATTAATTTATTTATGTACTTTTATTTTTTTCCTGATACATAAAGATATTTTATCTAAAAACTATGCATTATATAGCTTCATTTTATTATTTGTGGGTAAAAGAATATCTTAAATTAATTTAAATTAAATATGTCATGCATTTTGTTTCATTTAAAATACAAAATTATTTGCTTAGTATTCGGGCAATAAAAATAAAAACAAGATAATCTATTTAGTGTTTGAGAATGAGTAAATAAAAATTAACTTCATTGGATTATATTACGTAAACAAACAAAAAAATAATATTTTTCAACAAATAAAAAGTTAATTCACGTGGTTTAATTTCGGCGATCCTTTTGTGTTTTGTATTTTGTTTCAAGCAAATAGGAAATATTTCATTTTTTATTGTTTTTGTTGAAGGAATATATGACAAGTAAAAAAATAATATTACTTGTTTTTTAATAAGTGCGTTGGAAACAGCAAATTCGTTTTGAAGAATTTTACTCCCTGCCCCTTCCGAGTATCATATACTTAAATTCCAGAAGAGTTTCAGGCATGACAGTTTCATGAAGTCCACATCAGAAGTTTTTCAGTGGACTTTACATTTTATCCTTTCACTCCTTCTGATTGAATATGTAGTTATGTTAGATTTTTTTTTAGAGCAAGGATCCTCTTTTAAGAAATGGATGGTCAAGGCTAGGTCGAACATTGCAGAATTAATCTATAGGATTACGGACTAAGGGGATAATACTTGGGCCGGAATCTGCCAAAATTTAGTATACAGAACTTGGTAGGTTTTTATATATGCTCCCATTAGGCCCAGATATTTGGAGTTCTGTAACACAGAATGAATAAATAAGACAGTAAAAATCGCGAATTAAACAGCTACGTTTGCCGAAATGGCAACATCATAAGATGTTCTAAAGATCGGTATGAATTTCATCTCAGTATGAAATTTTAGAAGCAAGAAAGTTTTACTAAGACGATGTGATTTTCAATGAATTGCAAGCTTTATAACAAAGTTTGAGGAGATGAGCAACTGAAGCTTTTCAAAGGATCTAGTGTTTATCTATGATGGTACATCGTGCAATCCCACTGTACAAGTCGCATCCAGTATTTATTAAAAATAATGATTTAGGACATAGAGAGATTACCGTATAGTTTGAATACAATTTGAAATTCACAAATTAAATTGAGAAAATATGAGTTCATGTAATAAAAAATAATAGATAAACATAATGAGATAAATATAATAATGGAACTGCATTAATAATAAAGAGATGTTCACGGAGTCAAATCTTTTGAGAATAACATAAAAAAATACTGTGAGAAAGAATCTGAGAGCTCAGGGATTTGAGAATGCAAAAATTGGGAATTCAGAAAATAATTTTGAAAAGAAACCAACACAATTTTTAAAAAACGGACACTTAAAATGGTATGCTGGAACAGATTATAACAGTAATGTACACTGCGGGGGGGATGGGACAGTTCTATATCTTCCGTTCTTACTGGGATGATTGACGAAACTAAAACTGCTTTTTTCATATCTCGGAAGCGCGACTTAGGATATGTGTTAGATTTATATATAGCACTGTTCTAATATAGGTATTTTAACACAAAATCGGACTTTTTCTGAAATAGCATGCCAATTTTTTTCTATGTTTCGATTCTACAATTCAAATTATGCCAAACTGACAAATTTTGTAAAAATCGCACAAGTAGTTTTTTTTTTTTTTTTTAAATTAGCTCTCAAAATTTTACCTCTTCAACGTTAATTGTGTGTGTGTGTGATTACGGCAAAGCCTCGAGGGCTACCTACCTTAAGGGAAGGGATGCCTTCGTAGGAAGGATTCGAACCTCGGATCGAACTACAAGTGTTCAGCGACTTTACCGCTCGGCCGCTGTTGGGGCAATGTTAATTGAATTTGATATATATTTATTAATATCTCTTTTTTATTAAACTTACTTGATTTCTTCTTCCAGAATTCCAAATTTAGGCTTAATACAAATATAATTTGCACATATTGTATTATTTATTTTAAAAATCAGTATTTTAAAATATTTTTTATAAATTTTTCGAAAAAAATTTTGTATTATAACCTATAAAATTTTTAACAACATTTTAAAATAGACGTATTCCTAAGCATATTTACAAAAATTAGAGTTTTTTTATTCAAAATTTCTTAAGATATACGTGAATTTACATTTTGAAATTTGGTGTATAATAAGCGATAATAACGAAAATGTGGTTTATGCACTTTGATAAAATTAATTGAAAGAATGAACGATGGACCGTGTTTCCTCTAGTGCATTAATGAACTAAAAATTAAAGTAGGTTACTATAAATTAAGAATTCCGCCAAGTAAATTATTCTTAGCTCAAGTAAAAAAAATTCGCCAAGATAAATTTTTAAATTTCTCCATAAATTTCTCACCAAAAATTATAAAATTTAATATCTAGGTATGATTTGAGTCGTAGAATGGAAATATGGAAAAAAATGCTATTTTATTTCAGAAAACCGTCAATCGAACTAGTAGGACGGGAGATACAGAACTGTCCCATCTTTTTTTCCCCCCGCAGTGTACAATAGATGCATCGGTAGCTATGACAATAAATTAGTAAAGTTCCCCCCCCCAAAAAAAAAGTATATGTTTTTGATGTTTAATATCTTTGGTTCAGCTCAAAAAAATATACATTAAGAGAAGTTCAAGCAAAAAAGTTTTCAACACTCACCATTAGTACTGCTATAATAGCTACTATTGCCTGGGACCACAACATAGCGATAAGGAGTCGCCGACAATAAACTGCAGCCTGTAATATAAGAATAGAATGATATAAATGATCAACTTATATATGCATAAGATAACTAGACAGTGAAAATATCTTATTTTTGATCTTCTAAATACATTTAGAAATATGTATACATGGAAAAAGTATCCTTGTATTCGAAAAGAGCATAATATCGCCTCTGACTAAACTAAACGAGTTGTTGTTAATCCAAGTGGATTTTACATTCTTTTTTTCCCAGAATTTTGACATATAGAGTTTGATTTTCTTTGAAAGCATAAACTAGCATAAAACTCCTAATAGATAATAAGATTATTATTGTTGAGTTTGAAAACAACTACATAGTCTTGAAAAGGTTTAAAACAAATCTTTTTGATTATTAAATCAGAACTTGAATATAAAACCCACATCTCATGCTTGACAGGATCAGCTACCACTTGTGGCGACGTATTTTTAATAAATAATTTCAATCTTATCGGAACTAGCGAAATCTAATAACGTGGTCTCCAGAGGTAGAAACACGCTCTGTCTTACAATCTAAGAGCCTCAGTTTAAATGTTGTCTAAATGATTTGCATTCTGGTGATAAAAAGCGAAGAGGATGTGATAGTAAAGACTGAACTTACGTATAAATAACTAGCTAATGTAAAATAATAGTAAGTACAAACAAAATGATGCTTTGAAATGTCACCTTAAATTATTTGAAAATAATCACTTCTTAATGGCAAGTTCTTATTTTTCAGTGGTAAAAATGTTATGAAGAATATTTCTGCTTTAATTATCGCTTCAGCAAATTCAAACACATTCCTACCGCAGACGGTGAGCGTGAAAAATCTGGAAATCATTTTGATTGTGATACGATTATTAATAGAATATTCGCTCCTAAAATAATATAAAGACTTCTAAAAAGAATATATCGGCTAATATATAAAAAGAATTCATCGGCTTCTAAAATGAATATAAAGACATAGAAATCGATAGACGCTGATAGCCAGTAATCTAAGAAGCTCATCTTAGAAAAAAACAAAATTAAAGAAAATACAAGTTTAAAGGCGTTTAAAACAGCTGAAGAGGAAGAAAGGATGTAAACTTGATTAAGGTATGTTTTGAATCTTTTAACAGTGAAAAATTGCTATATTTTTTTTTATTTAATTCGAATGCTATGGTCTCCCTTTGCAGTATTATAACTACTTTCAGGAATTTTATGACGTACTTGACATCATACTTCCCCCCACACTCTTCTCTGGACTCTCAAAAATTTCGTAAGAAATAATGTTATATGAACAAAATCGAACATTTCTTTTTCCTTTTTTAATAGAATACATGACCGAGTAAGGGATTCTACTCACCTTGAATAGAATCCCTCATTCAGTTCTACATTGCAATCAATACTGTATACAATAGCATTTATGAACTGCAATCTAACAATGCACTTAGGATTATATTTCTTGACTTATTTCAGCAAAAACTCTAGAACAGGTGTTTTCAACCAGGGTCAAGTTTCATAGTTTCAGGGGTGATGCGGTCAGCCTTTTATTTACCGGTTAATTATTTAATTCTAGTTTATGAAAGTAAAAACTCATGTTAATACAATAATACTAATCTTCATCATGAGTTTTCATAACTTTATTTATGTGACATCAACTTAGTAATTTAAGAGCTAAGATTAACATAAAAATTAATTTTTTTTTACAAACATGGCTTTTTTGTTACCATTATTTCCATTACAAATTTTATTTTAGTCATTTTCATAAATGCATTGTTAAAAAACTTAATTTGTTTTTACTCCCCCCCCGGCTCTCTCGTTATGAAAGTTGCCAATGTTACCAAAGCATGAAGAAACAAAAAAAAAGGGGGGGCAGTTTTATATCTCCTGTTCTACTGGGCCGATTGACGAAATTCAAATTGCGTTTTTCATAACTCGAAAGTGCGACTTAGGTTAGATTTTAGATTTATATATAGCATTATTCTCACATAGGTATTTTGGCACAAAGTTAGACATTTTCTGAAATGACACACCAGTTGTTTTCCCTATTTCGATTCTACTACTCAAATTACGCCTAAATATTAAATTTTCTAAAATTTGGTGCGAAATTTATGGAGAAATTCAAAAATTTATCTTGGCGCATTTATTTCAGTTTGCGCCAAGAATAATTTGTTTGCCGAACTTCTTAATTTATAGCAAACTATTTTCTCCCACCCCCATTTTTTTCATTGTAGACAAGCGGAAAAAAGTCATTGTTCATATTTTGAAATAATTTTAAGAAATTGCGTAAACCACATTTGGCTTTATTATCTCTAAAAAAAAAGACGCCTAGTTTTAAAACGCGCCATTATGTAAATTCATGTCTATCTTAAAAAATTTCGAATAAAAACTCAAATTTTTTGCTGGGGAGCTTAGAAATACATCTAGTTTAAGATGATGTTAAAAAATGTATACCTTATAATACAAAAATGTTTTCTAAAAATTTATAAAAATTATTTTAAAATACAAATTTTAAAAATAAATCATAAAAAATGTGCGAATTACATTTGGATTCAGCCTAAATTTCGAATTCTGGCAGAAGGAATCAAGTAAGTTTAATAAAGAAAAAGAGGTATTAATAAATATATATCAAATTCAATTAACATCGAGGAGCTGAAATTTTGAGAACTAATTGTTTAAAAACTAATTATGGGATTTTTATAAAACGTGGCAATTTGTCATAAAGTGAGCCTTAGAATCGAAATATGGAAAAAAATTGACATGTCATTCAAAAAAAAATTCTAATTTTGTATCAAAATACCTATATTAAAACACTGTTATATATAAATCTAATACATATTCTAAGCTACGCTCTCAAGACATGAAAAACGCACGTTAAATTTCGTCAATCGGTCCAGTAGAACGGGAGATATAAAACTGCCAGCCCCCTCTTTTTTTTTTTTGGAGTGTACATTGCTGTCTCCTAAGCTTCCCCCCCCTAAGAAAGGAACTGTCTTTGGAGGTTACCATTGTGCAGGAATAGAAACACAAGAATTTAGCTTACCTTTCCTGGTGGTTTTGGATTGACATTATAAATTCTTCTGCGTCCCCAGGCCCTTCCGAATGAGATTCTTTCAAGAGGCCCCATCCCTTACATAGAGACGATATCACCATTTTTCACAATCTCACAAATATTAGTTTCGATTACTGTCTTTTAGTTAAAACTAAACAGAGGTGAGACTGTTTTATCACAGTAGTAGCTATCGACTTCTAAACATTTTCAGAAGAGAAGGGCGTCTCCTGATCCTTTTCATGCGGGTGCGATCATTTCCGCATTCGGGCGAGTTAATTTCCTCCCTCTGAGGTGGAAGTAATATTCAGTCCGCATTACAACGAAGGACACTGCTAACCAAAGTACAATATTCTGATAGTTTTTTCTACTCTCGAATTAAAATCAACTCTTCATTTCCAATGGTCTTGTTTTTGCTCATAATAACCGCTAGTGTTGAACAATTTACAAAAGGATTTTCCTAAAAATCTCGAGTTTTAATAACTTTGGCTAACTATAAAGTTTCGCAATGTTAATAACTTCTGATGTGATGATGATAGAAATAGCATGAAAACGGCATGTAAAAGCTCTATATACTGAGATTTTATGGATTAGTACAATCCAGCCAAATATAATTTTTTTGTATTAGTACAATACAGCTTCTATTATGCGTACGATCGGTTACAACTTCTATCTTAAAAATCAGAACTCGTTAAAATTTATTTGGACATGTATTTGCGAAGATTCCTTGAAGTAATTAGCAATATAATAGCTGATACTATAATTAATTATAGTATTATTATATTAATATACCGCTATAACAGATGAAGAAATAATCTGGAAAGAAGATACGAGAATAGTATATGAAATTCTTCCTAAATTAAAATTATTTGGATCTCTAGATTTTTAGTGTTGCTTTTAATATCCATCTTACTACTTGCTTTCGCCTCTTATTTAAAATATTTTTATTTTATTCAGTCTGTTTTATCTTTTCTTATTTCCATTCACAATATGCTCTAAGAAAGGTTCGACTTCACTTCTTGTGAACACAGAAGAGCAAATCGACACTCTCTGCCTAAAGTTTTTCGGCTGTGAATTCATGTGGAACTCATGGGTAAACTTTTTTCGAGAGTGCTATTGCTGTTTATTGTGCATAATGAGGCTTCGCCTTTCTTTTTTCTTTGTGTGTGTGTGTCGGATGATATGTGGGTTTCACTCTGTTAACGTTTTCATTTCTTCTTTTACTAAATCCTTTGCTTGACCACTTTTTCCTTTTCTTCTACACTTACCTTCGCGATTGAGATTTCCTTAGAAAACTTAATACGGTTTACTCGAATTTTTCACGAGCAAAAATCCTTAAAAAGTACCCGAAACTGTGTACATAAATTTTGACGACACAAAATCTTGCATTGCGATCACTCTGATATGTTCCACCGTAGGAAGCCTTACATGAAGGCATTCCTTTTCTTAGGCAGGCACGTCACAGGTGCTTTGGCATAGTTAATTTTATAAGGTATTTTCTCCCTCCTTCCAGCATGCCTTCATGGTGTATTGGTAGCACAATCGGCGCGTATTCCATAGGTCCATGTTCGAGTCCTGACGAGGGCATTACACATTTTGCATGTCTCCTGCTTTGAAATAACCTAATAACTCTACAATGGCGTCCGAACTAAAAGGTGGTAGACGCTAATCCACACCCTTTCGTCACCACCAGGATTTGGCATTTGAGTTCCCTAATCCCGAGTTGCATTTTTAAAGGGGAGAGTGTATTTTCTCCCTCCTTTCTACGTGCATTCATGATGTAACTGTAACACAATCGGCGGCTATTCAAAAGGTCCAGTCTCCAATCCTTGCGAGGGCATTGAACATTTTTCATGTCTCCTGCTTCAAAATAACCTAATGACTCTACAAATTCCCCAGACAACTAAAAATGAATTAGAAAAGCAGTTTATGCGATATACCAAGAAAGATAAGGAATCGTTAAATCAAGCCTTTAATTACATATTAGAAG